GTGAGAGGCAACGCACCAACCCCCACCGTGCCATGGTAGAGCTGTTGAGCTCCGGGGCTGCCGCTGGTCCGGTGTCATCCGCAGCCGCCACAGGAGTGTTCCCTGCAGCTGATGCCCCAGCTCCCATGTGAAAATTAAGTTAATTTATTATTGGGTTTTTTCATTGTTAAGTTCTTTTATACAGTTGTGAGGTAATAAATAGAATAGTAAAAGATGAGTGATTTTCTTCGGAATTCACCTTTTATTTTGATGGTATCATAAGACGTACGACGTCGTTTCCTTTTGTTCTTCTTTTCAAATTTCCCACACACAGTGAGTTGATGTATACTTCTAGTGTCGTGTAATAATAAAACATTGTTTTATATATATATATATTTTTTTAATTTTCTTCTTCCATTTCTTTTTCGATAGGGTTAGTTTGTTAGGCTACTCCCATGCATATTAATAAATCCATAACTTGTCTTAAAAAAAGACTCTATGTTTCTTGTGAAACAAGTTAGTTGTGTTACGTGGAAATTAATTAATTAATTAATTAATTAAGCATTTTATGAATCTGCATAAATGGTCAAAGTCAACGAATTGACGAATTCCAAGTGTTTGACTGGCCCATTTATTATAGAATTGAGGCATCATTGTTGGTTTTAATAGACCAACTACAATCTTTTACCATTTAATTTGTTCTTTTGGATTATTATTATTATTATTGGTTAGTTAAAATGAATGGTGACACTAATTATAAAATAAATTGTTGTTGTCTTTGTAAGGTTATTAATTAGTGCGGTCCGAATAGAATAACCCGTCCTTATTTCAAGGCAAAAGGGGGATTTCCCTCTACGTCGCGTGCACACCACGCTTAACAAAATATGGACCACCTCTGTTTTGGGCCCTGCGGAATAAGCGGCCCACCTGTGTTCTACTTCCCGAACGAAGTTTTAAGTGGGAGCAAAATTTTTAAAATTGGATGGGATCACGTGGCAGCATCACAATGGAGCACACCTTGTGAAAGTAATCTGTTATTATGATGAAACTACACACCTTCATATGTTTTTATATGAAGATTAGATAAAGAATTTATTGATAGCGACAAAATTAAGAAAATGGGTAAGCGTCACTTTCTGAACCATTCCCGATCATCAAGTGTTTGATGAAAATGAAAGGGGTGATGAAGCAGCGTCGTATGGAATCAACTGGGAACGTAGATTCTTGTGTATACTAGCGAACAGATCTTCCAGAACCTTCTTCTTTTTCTCTCTCTCTCTCTTTCACTTTTCCATTTTTTCTTTCATTTTCCTCTGAATTCCTCTAGTCACCCCCAGACCACGTTTCTGCTCGCCTTTGCAGTCCTCACTCAAGCCTTCCAACAGTGAGTGGCACACACCTCTGTGCCTCTGTCTGCTGGACCATTTTTTTCTTCTTTACCAAATCCACTATTGTTTTAACAGAGGAACCATGAATTCTATTCTACCGTCCTCTTCATTCTTTTAATGATTGAAGAGTTGAAGGGTTGTTGCCAAATCCAATACCCACATATTTAAATGCCCAACTTCTTCGTAAATTTTGGAGAAATTATTTGGAGCCCTCGACTGTTGGTTCTCTGATATGTGTCTGCCCTGTACTGGAAGTGTTTGTGAATCAGCTTTAGCTTGTGGGTTAAGAAAATGGCGCCTCCGGAAGTTTCCCAATCCGACATTGATTTGGAACAGGGGAATCATCGGCGGTCTGTTAGTGGTAGTGATTTGAGCGCCGATTGTAGCGTCTATTTCTCTGACGCCGATGAGGGTTCGTGTCCCTCTCAGTTTTTGTCGACCAACGGAGGTTCTTATGATGAGTTTAGGTTTTCTTTTGTTTCTCAGCCGGAGGTTGGGGTTGCTCCGGATTCTCGCCGAGTTTCGTCGGTGGAGGTTCATTCGGTGGAGGTTGAAAATGAAAATGGGATTTCTGAAATCAAGGTGCATTTGGCTAAAGTAGAGAGGGATTGCAGGATTTGTCATTTGGGTTTGGAGAGTAATAGCCAAGAGTCTGGAATCCCAGTCGAATTGGGTTGTTCGTGCAAGGATGATTTGGCTGTTGCTCACAAGCATTGTGCTGAAACCTGGTTCAAAATTAAAGGAAACAAGTGAGTCTACGTTATGTTATGCTTCAGATTATTTTCTTGCTTCTCTACTTCAGCATGTTCTTGTGATAAGCATCATCTGAGGTAATCCTCATGGGGTTCGACTATTCATTAATTTAAGGAGGCTTAAAGGAAAACTCTTTAGTGTAATGAGCTTGAAGTTGCATGTTCTTGTGATAAGCATCTTCTGAGATAATCCTCATGGGGTTCGACTATTCATTAATTTAAGGAGGCTTAAAGGAAAACTCTTTAGTGTAATGAGCTTGAAGTTGCAGATTAAAGAATGCTTACTTAGAGGGAACGCTTAGACGAACAAAAAGAAATAGGAGTAAAGCAAAAGAAAGAGCATTACACTGATTATTCCTTCTTCCCTGTCCCTTTTCTGATGGCTTAGGAATCTCTCTCTCTCTCTCTTTGTCTCTTCGCCCCCTCTGTAAAGTGAATACTCCATTTGCTAGTCTGAACCATGATTCAGTAGAGGTGGGGAAAGATTATGTTGATCACTCAACAGATCATAAAAGGATCTCTAGTTTAGTTTTGAGTTTTCCGAACTTTTTTAGTCACACAGTTAGCTCTTTCAGTTCCTTGATCTCATGAACGAACATATCCAAATGGTAGTTCATCTTGTGTCAACCAACAGTCAGTTCCCCCATTAGATAAATATATGGAACATGGAATTTGTTTCAGTACACTTCTCATGGATCTGATTCATGCCTTTGATCTAACTTTCCTTACAACTACAATAGACTTTGTTTTGATCGGCTTGGTTGAATTTTGTATAAAAAGATGATATGTATGAAGAGCTTGAAGGCTGTCAAAATGTAAAGGATTAGTAGGATAAATACCATCTGTTGTGGAAGCAAGACGATGAATATTTGATTTGATGTTAAAAGTACTTGTCCAGTGTCATGAATAGAATATGTCAGTATAACATTTTGAAAAAGGGTTATTTGTTAATCACTGAGAAACGAACAGACGACATGTTCTTGCACTTTGCTCCGAATTCCACTGATAAGTGATTTGAAGACTCACAAAAAGGTTCCACAGTATTGTTCATGGACAGTGATTCTGAACATGGGTGATTACAGCCATCTTTAATCAACTATTTCAATCAATGACTTGTTAATTGGTGTTCTTACATTTGCTGCATTGCATGATAGATTTACATAATGTGATTTTTATGTGCATATTTGTTCCTTTGGCTACTTTATTTATCATTCCTAATCTTCTTGAGCCTTATCATTAGGACATGTGAGATTTGCCATTCCATTGCACAAAACATTGTCGAACCAAATGAGGTTGAGTTAACAGAGCAGTCTAATGAATCCAACAACGCCTCCTCAACAACTGCAGTTGCTGCATCAACTCCCCCATCAGACACCCAAAGCTTCTGGCGTGGGCACCGGTTTCTGAATTTTCTGCTTGCTTGTATGGTATTTGCTTTTGTTGTATCTTGGCTGTTTCACTTCAACGTGCCCACATAGCGAATCGGGGGAAGTCCGATCAAGGAACTTGCAGAAGTTGTAGCTGCAAAAGACCCTCCCTCCAGAGAATTGCCTACAAAGTGTCCACATGTACCTCTCCCAACATTCTCCACAACTTTTTCACCGCACTATCATTCAGTTCCAAGTTACAGAGAAATGTGGTTCAGCAAGATCATGGTTGATGATTCTGAGTATTCCAGTGGGCATCATCTTTCGCTATTCTTATTATGGATTTTCGATATGGTTTCTCTGGATGGTTTCTTGTTAAAAGTATTTAGTTGTTGAGCGTTGATTGTGGCGATGTACAGGAGAAACACATGAACAAGCTCTGTGCTTTCTCAAGGACCCATCTTTACAGTGAAATGAAGAGGTCACTGAAGATGATAAAAGAGGCCAATCTTTTATTTGCTAAAACGAAGAGCAGGCAATTTCCTTGTGGATAAAAACAGGAAGGTGAGCCCACCTGGAGTCGGGGAAGACGAGGCGTGTATGGGACCTATCTGTTGTCAAGTGCAAACAAAAATCTGTCAGGAAAACTCATGAAATTGTGGCGTGAAGGGCTGCCCTTTTATTGGAACACATCGATAACTACGAATCTGTACAAACTAAAGTGGCTTTATTTGGGACTTTTTGTTAACGCAGTTGTTGTTCAGAAAAAGAGATGTTTCTTTCCAATTAAAATCTTGGGAGGCCTTGATTTTGATGAAGAATCCCATATAGACTTGTCCTTATCTCTACCATTGTGAAACCAATATTCCTTCACAAAGAAGGTGACTAAGATTTACCTTACACTTCGATATGTCTTCTTCAAACACACATCCCTTGCACAGGGAGAAATGTCATCGTCATATCCAAGTCGTTTATGATTAGATAGAGTTCGAGAACACCTTAGATAGATGTATAAAAAAAAAAAAAAAAAAAAAAACAAACACTGCAACTGAGATAGGGGCCAAGACACACTATTTTGCATCATTTGGGTAATCATGCAAATATCATTGAAAGTCGTACACACACACACACACACACTCACACAGCCCCTAATAGAGTAAAAGATTACATAAAAGGAAAAACAACGATTTTTTTTTTTTTTTTTTTTTAAAGGCAATAAAACCTCAAAGGATGTCGTATCTTTCAACTCTTCCATTAGACATTAATTCTCATCTGCCAAGTCTCTCTCTCTCACACTCTCTTTCAGGCTGCAGAAAATCTTTACTATCTTAGGCTATTATAACTAATGCGAAACTATGTTCATTCAAGTGAGAATCTAATAGAGCAAGAAAATGAATGAGCAATGAGCAAAGACATAGGATTTCTTTTACAATGTGGCATTCCCATTGCATAAGCCAATGCATTTCAAAGCGCATATCTAGATGGCCTTCTACCTTTAAAAACAAAAACAAAAAAGTAAAACTTTCAGTAATTTATAACAGTGTCGACCTTGATGACTTGATCATTAAATTTTTTTACAATAAACTAAGTGAAATTCAAAATAATCTAAACCAATGAACTACTACATTAGATGACGTTAGTTCCTTGATCCAACTAAGAGAAAAGAAGAAGGATCCGGTCCTCTTACTTCCTGCCTAAAAAATTGCCAAATGCAAGTGGCAATTTTCAGAAAAAAAATAAACAGAAAGTAAATCTAAATACGGCATTTCCCATGAAGATAGGATAAATAACAGATTTTACCAGTCTTGGGAAAAGGAGGCAACCACAGGCAAGGAAAGCCATTAGTCTACATTGTAAGAAATAAACAATCCTCCGCAAGCAGTTCTGTGTTGTTTGTGCTACGCCCCATTCATCGTGGTATTAACATGGAGGACACCGTTCCCATCTTCAGGAGTCTTGCCATTTACTTGAGTCCTCTGCCTCTGAAGAACGAACAACGAACAACGAACAACGAACAACAAACAACAAACAACAACGTAAATGTTAGAGTGGTTTTACAGTCCCAACTCCAAAAGGGAAAGGGAACACTATTCACCATATTGTACCCTATCAGTGGGGTCTACGGAATTCCCATTCAAGAGCTTGTGACTCTCATCTCGGGTCTTGGTATCTCTCTCTTTGGAGCTCAATGGTAATAGTGCAGTCCCATTGGTACGATCAGGCAACTCTGCAACATGAAAGCCCAATAGATAAAAGATTAAACTTTCTACATCAGGACAGCCAACAATCCATGATTACAAAAACTAACCTGGTAGTTTCTTGTCCACAAAAAACACCACCAAGTTAACAGTATACCTATAGAGAATCAACCGTTTGTGTGTTAGTGATAACGAACGATAGGGAAAGATCTGAACAAGAACACATCAGTGTTACGCTTACCATGCAACCACAACATCTACGGTGTAATGTTTGCGGGATGCTATAATCAACAAACTCTGTGTCAGAGCAAGCAACCATGCCAATTGCTTCATAAACCTGTAGTAACAAACAGAAACAATTTTGGTCCGCATGCAACATTACAAAGACCGAAATGTATTAACCACGGATAAGCAAGCACCTTTGTGTGCCATATTTCTGATAACTCCGCACAAAAACAAGAGTGAAGATCATGTGTGATGAAAAAATCAAATCACCACAACCGTATAATACCCCCCTAACTGCATTGGACCAGCAAAATAAGACTCGTAAAAAAATCAGATTAAAAAAAAAAAAAAACACAAAACCATGGAACAAATACTCTTGACTAATAAAGTACAATTGTTTAATAGACTACGAAATGCTTACAGTTCATGAATACAACTTCATAGGCATTATCCGGAGGAGGCAATGTGGCAAGTCTTGAACCCTGCATAATACAGCCAGGATTCATAAATTATCCCGTTTAAACAATCATCAAATTTTACTGCTACACAAATTTATAGAAAAGATATAGGAATTATGCCTCTTACAAATGAAAATAACCAACACATAAGGAGAATTTAATAAAAATAAAAATAAATTAGTACATCACTACGACTTTTTTAAAAAATGTACCTCACGACAGTGATAGTTTGGACCGGGCAGCTGTGTAGAATAAAATGTTAAGATACGAAGAATTTGACAACCCTGGTGAAAACAGATTCAATCATTGAATTAGGGGATGCAGAAATGTTTTAATGTTTTTAAAGCAAGATAACCAACCCGGATGAACGATAAGAAATTGATATGATAAATGAATGAATACTCACAACTAAAAATGCTAGAACCCTGCACCACAAGAGAACTGTATAGATCTTTTTGCTCTTGAGAATAAAAGGGTGGAAAGACCACTGCAGTTATTTTATCAAACAAAATCCATTAGTACACCTAAAACTGCAAATAATGGGGAAAAATAGAAAGTAAATCAATCAGAGGGAAACATAAAACATAGCAATTGGGATACACATGTTAATGGCATAATTATATTGTATGGGTGTAAAAATCTTTTGAAAACAGGAAACCAGCTAAATAGACCCATCAAGTCCAAAAAAAAAAAAAAAAAGAAGTGATGGATTATTGGTTTTCCTAGCCTGAAGAGCTTTGACATAATTATACGTCTTATAAACATGAAGAGAACAGAAGACCGTTCTGATGAAACCATTAGCTCAGATTGATCAGTAAACTAAACTGCTCAAGAAATCATATTTAAAAAAAGATGAATAAAAAAGTGCAGTCCATCATCAAATGAATCGGGAAAACAAAATGGCTAAAACAATCTATCAGAATTTGATTTCTGCAAATGGGAGTGCTTTGACAGGAAAATTGATTCCTGGTTCCATTAAGTTAAGAAATGCAGGGTGGTTGGTAGAAATGGAATAAAAATAGAAAGAGGTCACCACCAAGATATCACTTACCGCAACAAAGGATAAAAATATGAATGTGAAAAGAGTCTCACTGAGGTAAGCTTTGTCTTGTCCTAACTCCTACATATCAAAGCTCATATACTTAAACAACAACGACAATAATAGAATAGAAGAAGATAAAAGATGGGAAAAAATAAGGATGAGAGAGATGAATACTAACAGGGAGAAGGAAAAAACCAACATCCTGAAGAATTGGACCGGGACGATGTATGTAGTGAACTCCCCGAGCAGCAACTCCATGTATGTACTGACGAGAAGAAAGATGCTCCATACATTAGACATATAAGAGGACAAAATGACAAAATCCTAGAATACAAGATACTATAATTAGAATGCTGTATCTTAGAGGAGAAGATATGATCAAGAACCTGCCTTCAGAGCAGTTAGCTAGAGAAAACATGATTTAGAGGACATTTCCTACAATTCTGGACAATGGAGAGCGCATATTTCTACCTCCTTCTCTAAAACCACTAGAATTATGAATTAAAGCCATCCACATGCTTCATTCATTGATTACAAAAGTTGCATTTCCAAAAGATGATAAAAGTTCAGTCGTCACCTCTACTTTGGATTTACTGGATGCATATATTAGATGGAAAACTTTATACAATTTTAAAAACTTGGGACAAATTACGTGTTCGAACTTTACCGGTTCCAAATGTTTGGTTGCATAATAAGAAACAAATGAGGTAGATTCTTCAAAGTGCTAAATCAATTCGAATTTAAAAAATAGACGGTTCCAAATGTTTGGTTGCCATATAAAGGATCTTGTTTCCTTCTAATTCTTTTAAAACGAAGCCTGGCGAATAATTATTCCATTGGGAAGAAGATGAATGGGCAAGGGCCCACAAACAAGCCGACCAACATTATTTAAAAAGAGGGGGAAATTAAAAAAAAAAAAAGTAAAAATGGTTTAATGCGAGATGATGCATTGAAATAGATTGAAAGAAATACCTGAAAAATAAGTCCACCAAGAAGGTACTTCCAGTTGTCGATGAGAAGGCTGATCTCCGTACTAATCTCTGCGCAGAATCTTTTCCATAGCTTCTCACAGGGAAGAAGGAAAGAGGAAAAAGAAGAAAAAATTATTTGGAAAGCAGCAGCAGCAGCAGCAGCAGCAGAAGGAGAGGCAGAAAAATGTGAAATTTTGAATCAAGAAACCAACCTACCTTCGACGCTTCGCGACCAATGTAAAGATTCATTTTGAATGGGCGTAACCACCGCTTCCATAATACTTCAAACCCAAACTCTGAAGGTCAACATCGCGAAGTTCGATATCTGGTTAAGAATGCGTAGAAATCAATCCCAACCCAGAAAAGAAAAATAAATGAAACCGAACTCCGCAAAGCGCGGCAAAGTCAAAACGAAATGTCGGTACCGGGAAATCCAGATTGAAAAGAAAGATCCAGTTCAAAATCAAGACCCAAGTCAGGGATTGCAATGGAAAAGCAGCAGAAGGGGAAGCGATGGATGAGACAGAAAACAAGGCATTAGTGAAAGAAGAGAGCCAAAAGGGAAAGAGGGCCCTTTGGATTGTTGTATGATAGTGGGTGTGTGGTGGGATGGAAGCAGAAGAAGAAGAAGAAGAAGAAGAAGAAGAAGAAGAAGAAGAAGAAGAAGAAAGGCGAAATTGATGGAAGAAATGGAGAAAGACAGTTGAGAAAAGGAAAGAAGAGGAGGGGTGAATGAAGGGGGAAGGCTGCTTGTTACTACAAAAACAGAGAATATGAAAGAAAGATTTGCCGTTCTGGCTCTCACCTCTTCTTCTATATATATATATATATATAAATATATATATTTTTTTTCTGTCTATCAATATAATAATATTAAATAACCGGAGACCCCAAAAATTAATTTTAAAACCTAAATTTACGGTGACTTCTAGGATTTTTTATTTAAAAAAAAAAATACGAACTTTTAATTCTAATATATATTCACGTGAAAGTTTGTATAAAAATTAATAGTTTTATTATTTATTGTCAATAAAAAAAATAGAAGGCATATATTCTCCCAAAGTTCAGCCAACTTCGAGAAAAGAGAAGTTAATTATCTACGTTGTTTCTTTTTTTAAGAAAAAAAGAATTGAAATGGATATTAGTTAAGAAAAAGAAAATGAGGCATAAATGAGCACTATATTTGTTAGATTATTTAAAAGAAAACCACTTGAAAGACAAAGTTACCTTTTTAATTCTTAATTTGGGAATAAGAGAGGGCTTGAACCCGTCGTGTCGTCCCGGTGGCCTGCAATGCTTTGGGTTTGCAGCCCAAACTAAAAAGGAAAAAGAAAAAGTTAATACGTAAAATGAGGAATATATATTATTACAATACAGATTTTGTATTTATGTTTCCCAAGAACATCTCACTGTTGGTCCAAAGAAGTCTTGAATTTAAAATATTAAATTCACAAAAATGAAAAGGGAAATGAAGGGGTCAAGTCCACGCCAAGGCATTCTTCGGGTTTGGAGGTTGGACCCCACGAACGCTTCTGCCAGCGTCGAGAGGAGACGGGGATGATATCTTGGCCTGCCATTCTTTTCCCCTTTTTTTTCTTTTTTTCTTTTTAATAAACAAATTAATATAGTTGTTCACAAACTATATTAGGGTTTAGGGTTGAATTTTGTAACTATGTCCCAAAATGTTGTTCTCACTTGAAGACAATATAGTTGTCAATTTATGAACAGAGGGGTTAAAAGGCAAAATGGGTGGTTGTGGATGTGTTTAAGAAACTTGGAAGTATGAACAGTCGAGTATTTTAGGCATTTTAGTATGGTTTGTGGTGGAGGTGAAGTTATTATTGGTAGAAAAGAAGACAAAGGAATCTTGTAATTTGTAAGGCATGACAAGTCGGAGAGGAAAGGGATAGGTATACTGAATAGTGTAGTGCATTAAAAGAAAAAAAAAAGAAAAGGAAAGGCTTTGGGTGAGGGGCTGACACACAAAAAAGCAGGCAGCAGCCTCAGGAATCTGAACACACACACCAAAACCCAACCAAATTCAACACAACACATGATTCCAAGACAGGCAAGATTCAACCAAAGTTGAAGGCCCAACAACCTTAATTCTCAGTTCAGAAGGCCTACCAGGTATTATTGCTCGCCCCAGTGAATGCAAACTCTTTGGGCACCAGGAGATGGTGTCTGCTGCGTCCACCCGGGAATGAGGGGGATATCTGGTTGCGACAACCCCATAACGACCTCAAGGATATGTCACATGTTTGGACTTGATTTGGATTTGTCAACCAAGCAAAAGATTAGATACAAGGAAACAAACCTAATTTTCACGGACTGTATTAATTCCATTAGTATTGGGATACTTCATCACTCTTTCTGACCATTTATAATTGTAACACATATGAAAAACGCCTGTAACATAGAGATGGAGGAATCGAAACAAACTTCAAAGAACCCACCCTTCAAGGGTGTCATGCTGAACACGGGCTTATCTTGTTCATCTCCCTGAAACAAAACGGAGAGTCAAGATTTTTAGTTGACTAAAACGAAACAACCAATGAAATGTTGTTGTAACCAAAATTTAAAGATTTACCTGAACAAAAAGTTGGAGGCACTTGGAAATAGGACACGCCTTGGATGTAATTAGTTTGTTCGGAATGGAAAGCACACGCAGTTTGCAACCAATATCCCAACCACCACAGTCACAAACTCCGTCAGATCTCCACCTATTGATCAATGTGGAAGGCTGTCCGCTGCTTGGTGACCCATGAACATCCCCCGGCAGTATTACTACACCATTATCCTCTGACAAAAACTTCATGCCATTCTCTATCAAAACGTTACAACTTTGTTGCCCATCATGTTTCGAGTTTTGGGTAGGAACCTTTAAAACAATGGCTGCAAGTTCTCTATTTCTCATTATGATTGCTGATTCTGGATCTTCTGGTCTCGTCTCAACACCAAACAAAATCGATTCTGTTATCATAATACATTTACCGTTGCTGTATTCATAATGGGAATTCAGTTGCATTTGTCCAATGACGTTGCAGGCATAGCCATAACTTCTATCCCTATTCCCTGGTCGTTTCCAACCACTAGTCTTACTTTTTATTTCATTAACTTGGTAGAATGTATAACAACTCTGCCCTGCTGCTCCATTCTTCCCACACGGGGTTAAATCTTTAGCCGTGGCTACGAGCACATTTCTATTGTTATCCACCAATAATTTAAACGAGGGAAAACCATTCATTATGGTGAACTGCAAAAGGCCCTGCATTGGTGATTCAGCATGCTTCTTGTCGTGGGCACTGCCAACACCAGTTGGGCAACGGCTTAATGAGTTCACGTTTCCTTCAGTAGGATGTTGAGGAATTGAGGATTTATGATTCAGTATTGGCTTCATCAACCTTTTAAAAGGTATTTTCTTTCTATCTGAACTATGTGGGCAACCGGTATTTTCAGACATCACAGGACCAGATTTGTTTGTATCTGAACTACCTGGACAACCGGTAAGCTTAATGTCCGAGTCTCCTTTTTCTGTTTGTTTACCTCCATAAGGTCTCAAACATGAAAGTTGTGCGGTAGTATGACAGAGCAGAGGATGTTGCATTCTGCCCACCATGGGATTATTAACGTCAGCTAAAGAAGGCAACGGACATTCAGAAGAGAGGAGAATACCGGGTGGAGAAAATATTTCTGAATAACTCATCGTCCAACCTGAACGCTTTTTCCTTCCTTTTTGTTGCATCAGGTTTGAAACATTTCCCTGTAATGAGGATGATGTGCGATTCCTTTGTATTTTTTTGCGCCCCTTGATTGCAGTATTTGAACAGCTAGCAACATCTTCAGCTTGTGTTGGACAGCGAATATGGCGGTGCTTCCAATTCTGAAGCCGTGTCCAATCGAGAACCCCAACATTCAAAACCTTGTCTTGGAGATTTTCTACTCTGCGTGTATGAAGGAGATAAGCAGGCAAGTTTGACATATGCCTAACAACTTCGTCCTCTCCTATTGGACTGTCTTCGACTCTGTTACCTGGGCGGTACGATGTTTCCCGAGCAATATTGGTCCCCTTCGTTGGCACACAATACAAGTCGCTAGGCAGTCGAACAGAACATTTTGAGTTATGGCGGTGGCTTGAGCTCTTTCTCAGCTCCAAGCTGGATCCCATGCTACAGCAGATACTGAAAACTAGAACAATATTAAACGATGTTAGTAAAAGATGAAAACCATTATAACCGTGAACATCCTCAGTTTCTAAGGTTGGGTTAATCAGAAATTCCCCCCTTATTTGATCACATTGAGGAGTGCAGTTCCCCCAGATAAAGACAAAGGGGCTGAAATTATGTAGAGAGCGAGGGACCAAACATTGCGAATTTGGGGATACAAGGACAATGAGGAATGTGATTATTAGTATTACCAATCAACGTCAAAACGGAAGCAAGACGCAAAGGAAAGAAATCCTTAAGCATTGGATATGTCCTCAAACAAGCAAAACAGATGATAAGAAAAAAGAAAGCGAAATGTAGGATGAAGAGGATGAGGAGAGACGGACGGACCTTGAGAAATCCAGGAATGAAGGATCGTAAGAGGAGAAGCAATAGGACGAAATGAAACTCGTGGATCCCGATAAGGATCCGAAGCGTGATTTCACGACTGGGATGTGGGACGGAGGAAGGAAAGAAACGAAAACAAAAACAAGGAATCAATACGTCCTAATCTGTTGTGGATTATAAGCAAAGCAAAGAATTGCGGCGGAAATGAAGAGAAGAGAAGAGAAGAAAAGAAAAGAAAAGAAAAGAAAAGAAAGAAACATAATAAAGAGAGGGAGAGGCCAATTAATTAATCATTCTTCTCCGGTTTCGTTTCTTCGCCCTCCTCCATCGCGAAGGAATGTCGTCAGCAATTCCACACACAAACAAATTCAAAAGATCAAAAATCAAAAAGCGAGAATGTTGCATGAAAATGAAACGCACCGTTTGACACACTGGAAAAGGGGAGCAGATAAATTCAGAGCCCATCGGCCCAGATAAACGAGGCCCATTTTTAGAAATGGTTGTAGGAGTGTTCGCGTTTGTATCCACTTTCAAACAACCCTAATTCACAACTTCAATCTGTGTCTTCGGAATCACCAAATGGAATGTAATATTCAATTCCCTTGCCGTGCCATGCGCCAATTCGTCCAACTCACCTCAATCCAGAGAACAAATTCAGAAAATGATTTGATCCAACCGCGTGAATTTTTCATGGAATAATCAATACACCGCGACTTCCACCAAAAATGGAATCAATCCCACTCCATCTAAATCTTTCAAACTTTTACGTAGCCCTCCTCCTATAAATTGAACTGCTAATACTCATTCACCTGCAAGCATCCAAGCATCCAAGCAACCAAGCAACTCACTAAAAATGTCGATCCCTTTCAGAAACTTCTTCCCTACCGATCGGAAGGAACGCTACTACGTTGAGGAGCGGCCTTCGTACGACAACTCCCCTGAGAATCGGAAAGAACGCAACTACGTCCAGGGTCGGCGACAACTTACATGAGGATCGAAAGGATCGCTACTACGTCGAGGATCGGCCTTCTTACGATCATATCCATGAGAAAGACGCCGTGGCCGATCCCTTCCGTGCTTCCATGGCCTCAAATTCCTCGACCGTCAACGCTCAGAGGATGCGCACGTGTTGAGGTTAGAGCTTCCCGGAGTGACGAAGCAGGAAGTTAAGCTGAAGATTGAAGAGAGTGGAGCCATCGGCATCAGCATCGAAATTAGGGCTGTGAAAGAAGAGAACCGATATTTGGCGCCGTGTTGAACGAAGCAGTGGAAAGTTCTACCGGCGTATCGTCCTGCCGGAAGACGCTGATGTGGATAAGGTGAAGGCGGAAATGTATAACGGAGTACTAACTGTGACCGTGCCTAAATACCAGTTCAAGAAGCCCATGGGCAGAATGGTCCAGATTTCTGGCCATTAAAACCCCCCCGAAGTTCAGTCCTGCATGGCAACGGAAGGAGATGAAGCATATTAAAATTAAAAAAAATAAAGGATATCGGTTTAAATTACTACCGTGTCCTTCTTGTTTCCTTTAAACGGAAGGGAATAATAAATATTTTGTTATATATTACTCATACAGACGGCGTTTTGAATTCCATTCGCACTCCCACACATTACGTGAGTGAACCACACGCGCTTGTAAAGCGTGAGTGAGAAAGTCGCGAGAAAAAGAAATTCTGTTCTTTGTGTTTGAAACCCCCCGCCCATCGTTTCTCCACCGATGGGTATGAAAAGGACGTGTGACCCTAACACCGCCACGGCCGCCGGAAAGACGGTTGTGTCACCGGGTGGGACTAAATGGGGCAAGGTGCGCGTAAATGGGAAACATGCCTAGTGCGCGCCATGTGAGGGTTGTTATTATAAGTGAGAGATGATAGTTGATATCACTCCCCCAGATTAATGCCATCCGCCACAAGGCCCCCACTATCTCCTTTTTTCTCCTCCTCCTATTCATAAATAAAATCTCAATCTTTGAATCGAAATTCCCGTGCTTCCTTGGTAACGCTCATATTTGGACAACTATTACCATATTTACTTTTGCTCTTTATTTCTTTAAGCCGGAATAATTCGTAAACACAAGAGCTGCCACGTGAACAAGTTTGTGACACGTACGTGGCCTACGTCATCAACTTTGAATATCTAGGCCAAAGGGGCAGCGTTGGGCAGGGCAGGCAAGTGGGGAAGGAGATTCCTCCCTCCTAAGCCAACTATATATATATATATATATATAAATATATATTATATTCTCTACGTCTCCTACTCCTTGCCCACTTGCGCAATTATTCTGTTAGTTCTAATTAAACAAACTAATTAACCGTTGTTATAAATCCATCGTTTTCAATCCCAATTCAAGTCAAGCGGCACAACATATAATTATGAATTTTGTGTTCTTACAAACAAATAAAAAAAAAGGAACAGCAGAAATAGAGTAATGCGAAAGGATTATTGTTAGTATTATTATTCCTGAAAATGTGTTGGTTGGGTATTATACGCATTAACCAAGTAGGGGAGGGGAGGGGAGGGGAGGGAAGACTAGATCGAGTCCCAAAAAAGTTCCCCATGCCTTTTATAGAGAATCTAGAAAAATATTTATTGACACAAAAGAGGTGGAAAAATGCCCTCTTTTTTCTTTTCTTTTGTTCATCAGTTTGACTGAGTGACCCAAACTCCCTCACCCAACAAACAACAAAATAAAGTTGCTATACCCCCTACCTACCTCTTACCCCTTGTTATATAGGGGGCTGACTCGCTGCCTGCTACCCCTAACCCATTTTGTTCCCCATTGGAATCCCCCACCAAAACCTTCTTATTTTTCTCTAAACCTAACCACAAAATCAAATGCACCGCCTTCTTTTGTCGTCTCCTTCCTTTTACCTATTTTCAATTACTTTCATCATATTGCGCAACTTTTATTTCGTTTCAGTATGTCCACTCCTGGGGAAGCTTGATTTCATGGTCTGTTGGTAACTGCCCACGGCCGTTTCGTTTTTCATAATTTCCACCACGGTTGATTTGCAGCCTCAGGAGAACATCTACACGATCACAGCAACGAAAACAGAAATAATTCGATCAATTTGTGGATGCTGGAGAGGGCTGTGTTCATAATAATTTATAACGGAGGATGTAATTTTACCCTTCTCTGAATTCAATCGTCCGCCACCCATGGGTTGCACATGAGGCTGACTGCAAATATCCTCGAGGTTAAGGTTCAGGGCTTGCATCACTCTTGCAGGTACCAACACCGTAGAACAGGCTGTGGATAGAAAAACAAACTCATGATTTGCTTGAAACATTACCCAGTTCGTGAGGGTTCTTAATTTAATGCTCACTTATCATTCTGCATCCGCATGCTTGGAATTTAGATTACCTGGCTTTCTTCGTTGCTCAGACTGTGTGCTGCTATGTCGAGGCAAAAATACACCAGTTCCAGCGCATTCCCTTTTGCCTCCTCGAGCTCCGAGAAACAGAGCCCTCGTTCCAGAGCCCTGCGGCGGCGGAATCCAGGCAGATGACGACAATCCCCGACAGCCCCTCACTCCATTCTGAACCATTACATGGACCTGTTGCCGTTGATACGCTGCAGGAGAATTCATCTGCTCACCGACAGTCAAGTTTTGTCGCTGCATAATTTCCTTCTGATTCAGGTGCGAAACCTGCCAAAGAATTATGAGCCCAATAAGGAATCAAAATCGACTACTAATTCAACACAAGTACAGATAACCAGTCGACCAAATAATTTAGATGCCATAAAGGGGTTAATATATTTACTTGCACAGCCTGCAACTGCTGGTAAAACCCGGTACCCGTGCTCGAGTTTTTCACCGGAACAGAGACTTGAGATGTTCCTCTGTTCTGTGAAATAACACCACGACTCTCATTCATCTGCATCCTCGCAACTTCCCCTGCAGCCGCATGCAGCAGATCGCATGTAGCTGGAGGAGATGGAACTTTACAATTGCTTTTTGGACTACCACGACTGGAAACTTGACTGCAACCACTGCCACTCCCCATGTCGCACAGAGTCGACTGCGGAGATCCGGACAAGAGGCTTGCCTGAAAAGAAAAAAACAAATCCACCAAAATTAGACAAAAATAACACTAAAAGAAATAGAGCAATCAGGTCCGAATTGAAACCTTAGAATTATAAGAGTCGAAACCGTCATCAATGGTTGATTGAGCCATACGGAGAGTAATTTCAGCGAGACAATCCTCCTCGTCACTCTCCGTCTCGCTGGAACCCTTCAACGATTCACCAGGAGAACTGAAATCCGAAAATCCACCAGAAGTCCCGAACTCAAATGGGAAGAAAGGCCGTTGAGGCAGGAACGGAGTCGAACCCAGGCAGTTTAGGTGACTGTTTTTGTTGGTAGCACAGGTGTTTTGGCTCGGCATATTATCGTCATCAGCAAGAAACTGAGGAGGAAGCCAAAACTCGCCGTCGTCCAAACTGTCAGCCATGAGCAGCAAGAAAGAGAGGGAACGCGAAGCCTAGAAAATTGTGAAAGACGGAAGGGAATAGAAGAAGGTGAAGAGGGCAGAGATGCAAACGAGAAGGATTCTTTATAGAAAGAAGGAAGCGAATTTTTATAGAAAAAATAAATAAAATTAAATAAAAGAGTAATGAGGGGGGTCGTGGGTGAGTGTGACTACGTGCATCTTGATTTGTAAAGCGTCCCTTCCACAAGGCTTGCGCCAGTTGGCCTTGGCGCCACTATATTATTATCCTTTTTTTTAAAAAAAAAAAATATATTTTATAAGATATAAGATATAAAATATAAAAACCCTTTTTTAAAAAAATAAAATAGAAAATTAAAATTACATTAGTAAACCGTATCGTGAAAATAGGCAGCCGCTCTGCACGAGGTGAGATCAGTGGGGTCCCACTTGGACCGCCTTTCCATTTTACATTTACCGTTAGACTAAACCAAGGGAATGACGAAAAACCCTAATTTGTAAACTCAATATTTGACCAACCAAAAAGTTGGTTCATTGGGAGATTTATGATTTGGTGTAATCAAAGGGACTTTTTTTTATTATTATTATTTTCGTTATTTTAAAAATCGCATTGCATGCCATAAATTCTACTTGATTTTATGTGCTACGAATTGAATTTCATTAAAGTTTGGATGGATATTATTCTCGGAGTGCTGAATGTTCATACTTTTGTCATCCTAGTTAATTGATTCCAAATACAGTTTTATGACATTCAATGCATTGCCTATTGTACCCAATATTTTGAACATTCAAATAACCAGCCCAATACAAACTTTATTTTTAATTTAATATTTTAAAATAGAAAGGTAAATTTGGGAAACCGCGTGGCACGCTCCCCAGCACCATTCTTCAGTTGCATGAAACATTAATGAGAATAAGTGTGAAGTCAATTTGAATTATGGGTCAACGACTCATTTGGCAGTTTGTTGGATGTTTTGGTCCTAAACAAGTATGATATTAAATTGCCTTTTTTAAATGAATGTTTAATTGGAGTGGGAGTTTAGTGAGTCGGTGGTGGGTCACCAAACTCTGCTAAAACGAAACGGGGATAGAGGGCGCCGGAATTACGGGAGATATTGGCCGCCAAATAGGCAAAAGAATGGCGCGTAATTTAGGCTAATTACGCCACGGAAGTCGCCTAACCTTTTTATTCCCTGCCTTGCTGGCTTCCAACAATCACACTATTCCAAATTTGGGACATTGAATCAGACACTAGATTTGACTTTTGGTTGCAAGTAGAGGACGACAGTCCCACTCATAATTCAAAGAAAACAAACACTGTTCCTGCAAGATCTAAGTATTGTCGGAGAGTCTAAGCATAAGCATAACCACAACCATAACCATATTACAAAGAAGTGGATTCCAGCTCTAATCCCACTCACGTGCCTCACACAACCCCAATTTCAGACAGAGAATTGAGAGTGACGGTGGCCGACACATCGTCACATTTAGTTGTTAGAGAGAACACGGCGAGGGGTTGGGCAACCAATTTTGTTTCTACTACAATCATTTAATTCGTTTTTTTCATTTACTAATGTTCTTTTTTTTATCTTCCTCGTCGCCGACATCAATGGGTGTAACCGGACGGCCGGGCTTCCCGTTGTTTAATAATTTGAGAATTATTTTTGAATGGTACTGTCACTATACAAGAAAAACATGTTACATCTACATTCAAAGATTCCTGAACACGTGTCACTGCCATGCTTTCCAAATGCTTACGGACCACTACCCCTTGCTATGCCATGTGATGTGGCCAGAGACGAGAGTTGTGTTTGTTGGAAACTTGAGCAGTTTCGTGAATGGCGTTGTCGGACTTGATGATCCATAAATTTCATCTCATTCCTTCAGCTCTAAATTATTAATTTCACAGGCTGAGATCGTGAATGGGTTCGGAAAGGCCCATTTCTCCACACACAGCCCACAGGCACGCAGCATGAAGTTCGGCCCACTTCCTAAATCATCCCTTCCCTGAAATACCATATAATTTTGAACAAATTCAAAACTGGAATTAACAGTAAGCAAAAGAATTAGAAAAGAAGAAGAAAGAGAGAAGACACAGGAAAAGCGATATAATGGTGATGATGAGTGGATGGTGTGGAATCAGAATGATGAGAAAGGACAGCACCGGAAGTTTCCGAGTAGTTGCGTCTGCATATACCAACAAGCCATCTAAAAAATTTAATTAATTATAATATTTATTTCTCAAAATTTTAATTCTACCATGATTGTCACGACCAAATAATATTAGGTGGGAGTTTATATATTACTTCAAAATTACCGACAAATTAAACCAATTAAATTTTTATTTTAATTTCGAAGGAGTAATTCAGTAGGGGGAAAACGGGGGCGACCGGCCCATTGGAGTCCGAGTTCCGGGTAAAAGGAGAATGATTCGGGCGAACCGGAATTGAATTGCTGGGTGATCTGTACACGTGGACGGCAGAGATGCAATTCCAAGCTTCCTTCTTCTTTCCCCTTGACGTTTGTATTGCCAATTTAAACGCAACTTCAGGTCTGCGTTGTTACTTCCCTTGCGTTTTCGTTTTAATCGCACTGTTCCCATTTCACGAAAAAAGAAGAAACGCCACAAAAATGGTGAAGGATCGGAAGATCGGAGTGGCTCTGGATTTCTCCCGCAGCAGCAAGAATGCTCTGAGATGGGCCATCGATAATTTGGCAGACAAAGGCGACACTCTCTTCATCATCTACGTTAACCCTAATTCAGTAACCGAATCCCCCCATCAGCTCTGGGCTGAATCTGGTTCTCGTCAGTAATCGATCCTCTTTTTTCTTTTGATGTTTTCTCATACTCACTTTCTGTAGATCTTGATGATCTGTTTGGGTTTTTGCCAGCTCTGATTCCCTTATCGGAATTCAGACAGCCTGATGTTTTGAAGAGCTATGATGTCAAAGTCGACATCGAAGCCCTCGATATCCTCGACACTGGCGCTAGACAGAAAGAGGTAATCACTTTGATTTTGAGCTCTAGATTTTAGATGAAAGGTAAAGTAAACTGCGATTTCAGATTCAAGTTGTGTCGAAGCTGTACTGGGGAGATGCGAGGGAGAAGATTGTGGATGCAATCGAAGATCTGAAGCTGGAGTGTCTGGTAATGGGAAGCAGAGGACAGAGTACCATTCGAAGGTTTGTCTTCTTTTTCTTCTTCTGATAGTGAATCGTTATTGTAAATGATGAACAATTGTTTACGTATTTTTTTGGGGAAATTTTGTGTTTGGCTGATCGGAAACAGGATTCTGCTTGGGAGTGTTAGCAACTATGTGATTACTCATGCTCCTTGCCCTGTTACAGTGGTGAAGGATTCAAAATTTGAGCATAATTAAGGCGTGAAATTGGTGAAAGGAGGCGGGTTTTGTTGTTTGATGTCGTTAAGAGCATGCCCAAACTCCTGAAGTTGTAGAAAATGCTCCTCTCCTTGCGCTCTTTATATGTAATAATTGCCCCTACCCACACCCACACCCACACCCACACCCATCTGAGATTTTCTCAGCGCCCTGTTTATGTTTCTTTTCTGAAAACATTATTATTATTATTACAATGATGCTTTGTAAGAACTAAACTACTACGTTTCGTTTCCTTTATTTTTTTGATTGGTTAATTTTTTCCAAGTATAAGCGGTGGATAGAATTATTCCTTGGATTCCGAAATTTTCTTTTTATTCCTTTGACAAATTTAATGTTAACGTGAATTTGACATTATCAACTGGGTTTGGTTGTGTTTCAACTCCATATTTTCAATTCAAGTTTATCTTATAAGATGAAAGTTGGCCCAATATTGTTTGTTTTTAAGTACCCACATGAATGACTTCCACCCTAAATCTTACTGCTTGTAAGCAAAATATGAGTATTGTTTTACCCTTAAAAATGTACGAGGGCATAGGGACTTGAAACCGGTGTGGCGCTATTTTGGTCTTAATTTTCGCTAACAACGATCCAAACTTTCATCCCATTTTACAAGTTCTTCATCTTTCACTTGCCATGTGTTCAACCACGTATCAATAATCATTTCCTCCTCCTCTAATCCAGCATATTAACAACTAAGGTTTTTGTTTTGATATGATAGACTTCTTACCGATGAATATATATATTTGACTTATAAATTCATGATCATCTCCTTAGTCTCGCAACAACTGCAACAATCCGTAATCTTTTTCCGTTTGGAGTACCCAAAATGGGCATGAGGGCTTGCTGCTAATGACCCCATTAGAAGAGATAAGGAAATAGGAACTATTGGATGTATTTTTCCTTTATTTAAATTTAATTCTCATTTTTCATTTTAATAGCAACAATCTTCTTTCTTTCACTTTTATTTAATTCATTTTATTATTATTTTCATAAAACTTATAAAAACTTTTATTAGTTTCGTAAATAAAATAAAATAAATTGGTTTCAGATGATTAACAATAGTGTCGTTGTAGTATAGTGGTAAGTATTCCCGCCTGTCACGCGGGTGACCCGGGTTCGATCCCCGGCAACGGCGATTTTTTTTTATACTTTATAAAATAGAATTTCAGATAAAAAAAACTAGTTTTTAGTACATTGGTAAGAATGGTAAAGCAGTTTAGTGTTGAGCATTTGAACTTATTACATGTTTTTGCCCGGGTTCGATTCCTGGACATGGCTTCTTTTTTATTTTGAATTTGGTAGTTTCCTTTGCACCTTGTAATATATATGTATATTGTTTGAAAACAAGTCAAGAATGTAATCCTGGAGACGGTAAATTAACTCTTTGTTTTTTGGTAGCCCATTTTAGGGTAAATTTTATTACTGAAATCTAAACAAATTATTTATAATGTTAACGAATTATCATAGTGAAAAGAGGGGTGAAAATGCGCTGCTTGCTAATGGGCAGATAACTGATGACATGTCCATTCGAGTTATAAAGTTTTGGGCCTGAGTTGTGAGGCCCACGATACTGAAGGCCCAATAACTTGCCGGGAGAAACGAAGTGGACCCAAACTGTGGGCTAGGAAGTCCTTGGAATTGGGTTCTTTTTCGCACATGGCCCATGGGTGAAGTCGATAATCATCCAGCCTATGAAAATTCTAAAAATACCCATAATCCAAATAAATATATACTTTTGTATAATAATTATACTCTCTTTAATAATTATATAATTACATAAATCAACTAGTTAAGATATATTTATGAATCTCATGTGTTCATAGGCTAGCATGGTGAACCCTTAAACTTTGTCACGAATCCCCAATGGCAGAGATTCGTTGAAGCCAACATTACATGAGGTCATGCTTGAATTTGTTCGACAATGCAATCTATTCCATGACATCCTATCATCACAAATAATAATAATAAGAAGAATAATAAAAATTTGAATTTATCACTTGCAGTTTACAAACGATTTTTTTTTTTTTTTTTTTATCAAAAGAGAACCGGAGATAATACTACCCTTTCAAAACTTTTTAAAACTTTTTAAAGAGAAACCACTAGTTTAAAATCTCACATTTTTTAGGATAAAATTTTTGAATATTTTCATGAAAATCAACCTCTTACCTATAAATTTTTATAATTTTGATTTTAGCTTTATCTAAAATATGTACGACAATAATAATACAATCACGTGGTTCTTCCTTTTATTAGAAATCATCATGAAATTTTTCACCCTTAAAAAAAAAAAAAAAATTATCCCCTACCCCTCTCCTATGAATCTAGATTCTAGTTAGCTAAGACTCGGCCACAATATGACGGATTTAGTCATCGACTTTAATATCATATACTAAGAAATATTGGGCATCTACATATTATAATGGTTATAGTGATGTTGTTCCTTTCCATAAAAGCATATATATGATTGATTTAACCAAAATGAGAATAAAAGCATATATTATAAGTATGAGAAAAGAATAAGGGGAATGAATTGAGGAACGTTGTTCCGTGTAGAGGGAAGTGTAAAGTGAGAATAAAAGCAAGAACATGCAAACCCCAAAATGCCAGAATTTGGAAAATTCTGGGTCCATTAACTCTCCTTCCGCGCAAACTTGCACAGAAAGCTCATAATAATAATATTGGCAACTTGGCCTGGTGGCACAGATTCTAAGAAGGGGAGGGATTGTGACTGATATGGATCTCCCATTCAACTTCTCGCAAAATGGGTTTACTTCTTTGTTTGTAACATCAAACCATATCATATGCTTTCTTTCCGTGTTTTTGGTGTGATTTGATTCACCTTTCAAAGCTACCTATATAGATGAAATTAGGCCACATTAACTTCACATGCCTTAATTCCTTCACCACTTCTATCCCAACACTCAACCTACAATTTGACCTTCCCTTTGTTTCATATTGGATACGTTTCAACGTGGAATGCCCACGTTTATCTTATCAAACAACTGGGATCTTGATTGTATACCAAAACAACCTCAAATTATCTACATTACCTACTTTGGTTGATTGATTAGGGTTTAGGGGTTTTGGTAGTCTTTGCATTCCGTTGAAAACAAGGTTGTAAATATGGAAGGAATGTGGTGGAATATGATATTCAAAGCTGTATGTTTTAGTTCATTTAACATGTTTTAAATTTAAGATGGTGACACCAAATTTTTTTCTTTTTCATATTTGGCCATTCACATATCCCCACAAATCAACTGCCATATAAATTAATTATTTAAATGGTCTTTTCCCACCTATTTAGGATTAATTATAATAAAATATAAAATATAAAAGGATATGATTCTATCGAATATGGTGATGGGGTGGAACACATAATAGTCCACACTGCACAAAACACATTCTTCTACTTCAATCCTCTGATATCTTTCGACAAAACTGTTTTTTTTTTTTAAATATGAGTAAAGAGAGAAAAAATAAAATGGTGAGAAAATTGGTTTTAAATGTTTTTATGGTAAAATAGTTATTAATCATTTATAATATTTAGGGTAATTATTATACTGAATTTAAATAATTAAATAATGAATTCAAAAACTATAACTTGGAAATGAATATTAGGAATGATTTAATGAAAGTATGGTCAATATTTTTGTCTATTTTGTAAAGTCTTATTTCTTCACATATATGGCAAGAAAAAACATCCATCTTCTCCCCTTCTTCCTCTTAAATCACATCTTTAAATTTATACACTTCAATAAACAATTTAAAATATTTATTAAATTGATATGAAATTCAAATATTGGTGTATGCCGATCCGACCCAATTAAACTAGGCTAGGTTGGACTAGGGCGCATGCGGGTTAAGACGTCAGGCCAGGCCGCGCTAGAAAATACATGGTAAACAACTGTTTTGATAGCATAAAACTAAAGAGAACATTTTTTGAATATTTAGCACTAGTGGGTGCAGACATCATTTTGGTAACTAGTTGTTATATTAAGGTATTGACACACCGAAAAACAGTAGAAGCCTATCTATTTTCCATCAAACACGAAAATAGGTAAAAGAATTAGAAATGGAGAGTTGAATGTAATCAAAACATTGGATATGCAATGGGAAAGAAGAGTGTTGGTGGGGTAGAGATTTGAATCCTATTTAAGGAAGCCCAAACCCCATCCTCCCTCACCATATACACTCCCTATTATCGATAGGGAGAGCCGTGGAAAACAAAAACCCATAACCAAAACCAAAACAAACGCACAAAGCCTTTGTTATTCCTCTGTCTTAAAACCCCATCCTCTTCAACCAGTGTATCAACCCAATACTAAACTACTCCAAACCCAATTCCTTCTCCCTCTCTCTCTCTCTCTCTCCCACTTTCAATCTCCGAGTAACCAAAAACACAGCCAAATGGAAGCTGCAAGGGAAGCAGCAGAATTTGCAGATGAGCCCGACCAACACACCCATGACCAAAACTTGGTCCATGATTCTTCCGTGGACCATAAAGGAAAGCTTCCTCTTCGAGCTTCCACCGGCGTTTGGAGATCTTCCCTCTTCATCATCGGTAACCAATACATACTAATGCCTAACCTATTTTAATCTTTACTCCAGCAATAAAGTTCACGAAATTCTGTCCTGTTTTCTTTCTTTCTTTCCTTTCCTTTTCCTTTTCCTTTTTTTATTTGGGTTCTCTTCTTTGCTGCATATCTTAGTTCAAAGCGTCGCCTTTTTCATTTAGCATGTCGGAAAAATAAAAATAAAAATATTCTTATTCGGGTAAGTATATGAGCAGTGTTTCAAAATTGTTCCTTTCGTTAATTTTGGTATAATTTGCAGCTATTGAGTTCAGTGAGAGGCTGAGTTACTTCGGAATATCGACGAGTTTGATAATATATCTCACAAAGGCCATGCACGAGGACCTCAAAACAGCGGCTACAAATGTTAATTATTGGACTGGTGTCACCACTTTGATGCCTCTCCTTGGCGGCTTCTTGGCCGATGCTTATTTGGGTCGTTACTCCACTGTCATCCTTTCAACCGTCGTCTACCTTTTGGTAACTTTTTTTCTTTCAAATTATTTACATTTATAAATCATTTTAACAACGAAACTACACTAAATTATAGGCCCTTTTGATAGGATAACACTAATTATAGTTTCCATATAAAGAAGAAATATTTGAATTTTTAGTGGAAGGACATTTTGGTTAAGACATTGTGACGTTGGTGTGAAAAAACAGGGGCTGTCGCTGATGACATTGTCCACTTTGGTACCGAGATTGAAGGCCTGTGGCAGTGAAATATGCAACAAGCCAAGAAAAGTGCATGAAGTTCTGTTCTTCACAGCGATCTACTTCATATCTGTTGGAACCGGAGGCCACAAACCATCGCTCGAGAGTTTCGGAGCAGACCAGTTCGACGATAACCACCCGGACGAAAGAAAGCAAAAGATGTCGTTTTTCAATTGGTGGAACTCTGGGCTTTGCGCCGGCATCATCTTAGGAGTCACTTTAATCGTCTACGTTGAAGACCATATGGGATGGGGAATTGCTGGTGTCATTCTCACTTCGATTATGGCCTTATCCCTCGCAGTCTTCCTTTTTGGAAGCTCTGTGTATCGCTACAGAGTACCCTTAGGCAGCCCTTTAACCCCTCTCCTCCAGGTCGCTGTCGCTGCTTTTAGGAACAGAAATTTGCCCTATCCTCCACACTCCTCTCACCTCTATGAAGTTCAGACTGCGGACAGGTTTCAGGCCAGGCTGTTGTCCCACACAAAGAAGCTGAAGTAAGATCCCACCCCCAACTCACAATTTTTCAATTTAAACTCGATTTGGTAAAGCTAATCCGAAGTGCTTTTCACGAACAGGTTTTTGGACAAAGCTGCGATCATTGAGGAGGGAGGCAATTCAGATGGGAAACAGGGGCCTTGGAGGCTTGCAACTGTTACAAGAGTAGAGGAATTGAAGCTGATTCTGAATATGATCCCAATTTGGATAGTGTCTTTGCCATTTGCAATCGTGGTGGCCCAATCATCCACATTCTTCGTTAAACAATGTGTGATAATGGACAGAAAAATCGGGAGCAGTTTCATAATGCCCGCATCGTCCATGTTCTGTTTGGCTGCTCTGGGCATGATCATCTTTGTTGTCATCTACGACAGGCTACTTGTTCCATTCCTTCGGAAAACCACAGGCAACGAGAGAGGCATTACCATACTCCAAAGGATAGGAATTGGGATGGTTTTCTCTTTCACGACTATGATTGTTGCAGCTGTTGTGGAGCGAAAGAGAGTGGGGCTAGTAAAAAACGACCCAACAGGAGGGAGTGCGGGTGCGATGAGCGTGTTCTGGTTGGCCCCCCAGTTTATTATCATCGGAATTGGAGACGCGTTTGCTCTGGTGGGGCTGCAAGAGTACTTTTACGATCAAGTTCCTGATTCCATGAGAAGCCTTGGGATAGCATTTTATTTGAGTGTCAGTGGGGCCGCGAATTTTGTTAGCAGCTGGCTCATTACTATTGTGGATAACATCACCAGGAAGAGCGGCGGGCAAAGTTGGTTTGGGGAGGATTTGAACACTAGCCGATTGGACAACTTCTATTTTCTCCTTGCTCTAATTGTGGCTGTTGACTTGTGTGTTTATGTGATCTTGGCTCGCCGTTACACCTATAAATCCGTGCAGAAAACCACCGTGGGCGCCTGCTCCGACGCCGACGCCCCAGACACAAGTTCAGCGGTTTGAAAATTTTTCTGTTGCTTTTTAATAGCTTTTAATTTTATTTTCTTTTTTTAATCCATTTGTAAGTGGAGGCTTTTAGATTCGCCAATTGATTAATTCAACATGTATTTCATTGCAAATTTATAAATGGGTTTGAAAAAAAATTAATGTATTTCTTGTGTCTGTAAAAAACTTAATAGCAACGGGCAATATTTATATATTAGTTATGGAGAAGCTAAAATTACATTTACTTTGTTCATTTCTCATAATCTAAAATCCCATTCGCTGATCTTATCCACAATTTGGATTTCATTTTTCACGTCTACTTAAAGAAAAATTAAATAACAGAGAGAAAAAAAAAATCATTAGGGCGATAGATGTATCCAGCGGGCGACACTTGGCACGCCTTGATTCACTGCAAACGCCATGTAATAACCAGGTGGAGCCACCATCCCGTTCGCAGGAGCAGTACACCCGACCCGGTATAGCCCACCGCCGTTGGGAACACTCGCCGTAACGGCCAATTTCACCAACCGTTGACCTTGTGAGAACGAATGCGTAGCAAAAGGCGCACTCGCCAAGTTCACTTCAACAATCCCCACTACAGGTAGTTGAACCCACACGAGCACGTCAAAAACGGCGCCGTAACCCACCGTCTCCGGAATTTTCTCAATAACGGGTCGAATATTGGCTCTGTCGGCCGATAAATATTCCGGCGAGAATGCTTCAATTCGCAGCTCCGTCGGGAATTCGGCCTCAAATTTATAGAAGTAATGAGGATTACTACCAGCAATCAAAATCCTTCCATCAGGAATTAGATTGGCGGTAGAGTGGTACATTCTCGGAACGGTTCCTGGGTTCAACGTCATGAACCGCAACCCGGCCGGTTGGTCTGGTCGATACAGAACCGGATGCAAACACGGGTCCGAAGCCTGTTCGAACCCTTGAGTACCCGCTTGTGCTCCATTAACAATCACCACATCGCCGGTGGGAAGCATCACCATATCGCCCATGATTCTTCCAAACGGCATATCCTCCATTTCCCAAACTGGGTTCAAACCGGTGGCTTCGATTCGTCCACAGCTTCCGTGAGCCGGAGTGTCGGTGCTTCTCTGGATAAACGCACCGTATTGAGCCCCCCCGCAAATCACTATCACAGCATTTGAATGATCACCTCGAAGAGCGAGCATAACCGACGATCCAGCGGATGGGTAATTCCTAGGCCCACCATCCAACGGTGGATAATCCCTCACTACTTGATCACTCTCGTGATCATACAAAATTGCTCTGTTATTAGCGAAGACGAAGAGATGCCCATTTGGAAGAAGATGAACGTAAGGGTATAAATTATCCATCTGACCGTCCTCCACGTCACCCAAGAAAGGTAAATTCACCGCCCCATTTTTCCTCGGAGGATAATACTCGACGGTGTTGGCTCCCCTGCCGCCGACGATTATGACAGAACCATCCGGTAAAATCTGATTCGTAGCGTACCATCTCCCATCGGCTAATTCCGGCTCCGAGAGCTCAATCCAGTCACAAGCACCATTTGGTTCGCAGGGTTGAAACTTCCGGAACTTTCTGAGGCCGTCAATATCGCCGCCGGTGTGCAAGAGAGTGCCATCGGGGAGGAATTGGCCGGAGGAGCACCATGTGTCGGTGAGGATCGTCAAAGGACGGATTTGGTTGGTTAGAAGGTCGAGGACGACGGAATGGGCATAGCAATCATGCTTGAGAACGGCGTCGTATCGGTCGTTCCGACAATGGCCTTTGCGGAGCATTTTACGAGTTGGGCCGATGTTGGTCCGATCTAAGAGGAGGACGGTGTTGAACCTTGTGACGGCGGTGTGCATGGAGGCGATGCCAGCATTGGGAACGAGAAGCTCCCACGTGCCAGGAAGAGTAGCACGTGTGGAGATGATGGAGAAAGCAAAGCAAAGAAGCAGAAGGAAGCAGAGAAAGCGAGGGAAATCCATTGGGCAGAGTGAGTAACCGGAAGTGAGTAACCAAAGTGTGCAACTCCGGAGTTGAAAAAGGGCCTGCAGAATGGAATTATTTATTTATTTTTGTCAAATTTAATGATTGGTGAGGCAAATATTTTAGATGGAAAATATATGGGTATTAATTAAACACAAAAATTGGGATACACTCATTCACATGAATTTGATTCCACTATGAAAGCCCCGTTCTTGGTTTTGCAATTTGAATGAAATCAATAATACAGCTGGATTGGGCCCTCCCCATGTTACCCACTCGCCACTCTCAATCACTTCCCTCCCCTTTAAACTTAAGCTTCACCACCCCATTTAGTTTTAATAACACTTGAAATCTATTTCAAATTCAGCAATTAAAATACCATATTCCTTGAAAAAGAATCCAATTCTAAAGAAAGAGTAGGGGAAAGCAGTTTTTTTTTGGTTTTAAAAGCTCTTTGTTCTCTGCTAAAGCCGCTCGCCGCCGCCGCCACCCACTTTCGAGAATCATTAGTGTTATAAAGTCACACAGGTTGAACCGGCCCATTAAATGTAGGAATTGGGCTAGCAGGGCCCGAAAGTGAAATCGGGCCTTGAATTTGATTTGATGGCTAGATGTGATGATGGAAGTAATATTAGGATTATGTAGATTAGTGATAATTAAGTAGGTACAGCATAAAGTTTGATAGGGTAGGGGTCAGGACAACCCAGATGCTTTTCGTTGCCTCGTACTATTTTTTAGGCTTTATGATTCTCCAGTCTCCTCTATATTTATCACCGCATACACTTCCTCCTCTTCTCTGATTATATTATATAGAGAGGTAATTTGGAAGAAAGAAGCAAGAAGTGAATGCAAAGAGAGGAGGGCGATTGGGAGTTGGAAAAGCAATGACCAAATCCGACGGTCCCAAGAAGGGAAGTAAGTACGAATGGGAGTCAGAAGGAAAGGAAGAAAATGGGTGAGTGTGAGGAAGAGCTTGATTTTGATTTGATCAAATATATTTTGGTTAGTGTGAGGAGTGTTGCCCCTACAGTCTCCCCTTACATCCCCTTCTTCCCATCCTGACGCCATCACTTCCCCTCAGCCGTCGCAACAGTACCATCTCCTTTCCATTTTTGAAACACACACCCAATATATATATATATATATATATATATGTATGTATAACAATCTATTCGACACTCTCTCTCAAGAAACAAATAAAATAAAGGATCATGGATTTTAGAAGATGGCGAAACTCATGGAATAAAAGTGAACAACTGTTTGTGGCGTTTCCGAAGACCGATGCTTTTATTTATTTATTTATTTATTTATTTATTTATGAAAGTAAATACATAAAGCAGTACGGACACTGTTGGATGGTAAGTAAAGTTCAAACTTTCTCTGCATCAACACTGAAACACCGTTCCGTCCAAAGGCGCCAACTTCGGGCGGGGACTTTGCCTTCCCCCTAAGCAAAAGATTTGCACTGTATTTTTATATATATTCCTCATTCTCTCTCTCTCTTCCAAAATTAAAAAAAAAAAGAAAAAACAGAGTGCTGACCGAGAAACAATAGAGGATGACGACGATCACCTGAACATCCCCAGTAGCCCTCCCAATATTCAAAAAAACACTACTTTTCCCACACCTGCCACGTGGAAAACACTCCCTCTTTATTATTTATTCATTATTGTAATGTACGTAGGTTTTGCTATGGTCAGCATGCTACGGGACTTTATACGCTCTCATTTAATCCATTCATATTTCAAAATCAAAAAAGGGTTTGGGGAAATTATTTATCCTTTTGTTTTTGTTTTGGGTTGAATGGTATGTATGGTTTAGATGATAGATATGAAAAGCTGACAAACAAAAGAGAGTAAATGATTTAAGGTATAAGGGAGTGGGAGTGAAAGCAAACATATCTTCATCTTCATAGATTTTAGGCCATCTATGTGTTCTTGTTTTTGGCATGAAATTACCCATCACAATCCATCAAGATCCACGTAAATTTAAGATATAATTTCTTTTTCTTGTTGCTTTCAACCAAGAACACACACGCACTGGAAAGGGAAATCCAAATATTCTCCAACTTACAAAAAAAGTAACAAAAAAAAAAATGAAAAAGGCTGGCATCTTTCCGAAAGGATCAAAAGTTTAGAGGAATTGAAATGCCCAGAAGTTAATACGAAGAGACAAACAAAATACAAAACAAACACACGGGGGTTTCTGATCAACGTTTCTTTGAGAATCTGATTCACGAACTATAATCATTTTTTTTTTTTTTTAAATTCTGATCTCCAAGTTTATCACTAATTTCTAATTACTTTTCTAATCTCATTCTAGTTGGTATAGAGTAGTTTTCGAGGGACCCATTTTTATTAATTAATTTATTTATTTTGCTAACGTTGGTTCTTAGTATGGAGTTTTAGTTCTAGTCAAGCTATCACATCGCTGTCTTCAAACTTTCTCCAAATTAATTAATTAATTTTCTTCAATATAATTCAATGAAATTTCCCTTTTATATATATATATATATATATATAGTTCGTAGGAAGGAGAGGAGTTTGACTAAAACATGGATGTAATGTAAAGACTGTCAAAAAAATAAGAGAAGAAATGGTCATATTATTAATTGTTTTTAATTATGTAATTTTCCCCATCCAAATAAATGTTATGTTAATAAAATGAAAATAGTTGTAAATGGGAGCAAAAAAGAAGAAGGGATGGCCCACGAAACCCACACCCACACCCACTCTCTCATAGACATCCAACCAAATAATTAAATTGGAAAACCCACCATAACCCTCCAAAAATAATAATAATAATAATAAATAAATAAATATAAAACGACAAAAAACCTCAAAACCCCCCTGTCAGAAACATCTGCCACGCAGGTTACTTCATTAATTACCGGCATTAGCCGGTCTCCCCCCGGTTTCCCGAAACCCTATGCTCCTCCCTTCCCCTCAAACCCACAAAAACTCATACGCAGATAAACTCTGGTTCATTTTTATTTGTTTGCTTTTAAAGCGGCGGATAAGAGACGAAGGGTGCAGCTGAGAGAGAGAGAGAGAGAGAGGTCTATATTTGTGTGTCCTAAACAAACACTCCCACAAATCCCTTCTCTTTTGTGTGCTTCCTTAATTAATGGCTGAAGGTATTGAATCCTTCGACCATGTCCCTCAACAAAGCCGGCGCGACAAGCTCCGGGAACATTCCGACCACCGTTCCACTTTCCTCCCTTTCTACGACGACCCTTCATCCTTAATCTCCCCCCCATCCGACTCCACCCATCGTTTCCAATTCCACCACCACCCTTTTTTCGACCCCCAAATCCAATCCTCTCTCTTACCCGACATCCATCAACAAAACCATTGCTTCACCTCCGAGCCTCTCTCCCTCTCCCTCTCCTCTCAGCCCTTCCTCGCCGCCCCTATTCCCCCCGCCCTCCCTCTCGGCCCCTTCACCGGCTACGCTTCCATTTTAAAAGGCTCCAGGTTTTTGAAGCCTGCCCACCAGTTGCTAGAGGAGCTTTGCGATGTGGTTGGCCTTCATCCCGCCTTCCCCTCCTCTTCCTCCCTTAACTCTCCTCCTTCTCCTTCTCCCTCTCCCTCTGCTTTCATGGATGATCCTTCCTCTGACTCTCCAATTCTCGACCACCATCCCCTTGCTTCCTCTCATTCTGCCCCTCCTATTAAATCCACCCTTCTCTCAATGCTCGATGAGGTACTACTTCTTTACTCTCTTTTTCACTCATTTCCTATTTAAACCTTTTTTTCTTAATTTTATTTGTTATGCTGTAATTCTTATTTCCCTTTTACTTTTTTTTTTTTTTTTTTTTTTTT